TCACGTTCAAATGTCAATGCATTCATAGTCAGCGCTCAAGAGGAGGCTGAAGAACTGTATGTTCAATGGCTGTCATGTTGTAATTAGGCTCTTCTGTCAGGACACACATAAAAGGGTTTTCCATTTAGCCTCTCTATGCACTGGAAACAGACGGCGCTGCGCAAAAGTCTTAGGTCACCTGAGAAAACGGTTAAACTATTTATATGTAAAGCAAGTGCTTTTACAAGTGCTGTAACACTAGAATAAATACAAATGGTTACACATTCATGGCCTTATCTGAAACTGCACTGCCTTTGGCTCCTCTGTTCTCTGAGTTTGCAACAAATCTTGATCCAGATTTCAATTCCAAATCAATCAAATCGCATGGCTAAAAGAGGTTTTTAATCACTTAATTAATGATGGTGAATTTAGTCTTTTGGTCACATGGGACCGAAACCTGGTCAGACAATGGCTTGTATTTACAGTAAGTGATGTATCTAGAGCTTTCGGAAAGCCTTGAATGATGTTCCTCACAAAACTGGTCCCAACTACTGAAAATAAAAACCTGGTTGGTTAATTCATCTGTCCGTTCTGTATTATGGTGGTAGTTAATCTAACATGTGAGGCCTTCAAGGCTGGTTCATTGGTAGAGGTATAAGGATGGGAAGATAGTGCGGGCTCATTGGTCCCCTACCATTATACCTTATGGGGAAGGGGAGACAGGGCTAGTTCATTAATAGGGGTGTGGGAAGAAAGGGCTGGTTCATTGGTAGGGGTATGAGGATGGGGAGACAGGGCTGGTTCATTAATAGGGGTGTGGGAAGACAGGGCTGGTTCATTGGTAGGGGTATGAGGATGGGGAGACAGGGCTGGTTCATTGGTAGGGGCATAGGGATGGGGAGACAGGGCTGGTTCATTGGTAGGTGTGTGGGGATGGGAGACAGGGCTGGTTCATTGGTAGGGGTATGGGGATGGGAGACAGGGCTGGTTAATTGGTAGGGGTATGGGGATGGGAGACAGGGCTGGTTAATTGGTAGGGGTATGGGGATGGGAGACAGGGCTGGTTAATTGGTAGGGGTATGGGGGACAGGGCTGGTTCATTGGTAGGGGTATGGGGACAGGGCTAGGTCATTGGTAGGGGTATGGGGGGACAGGAATAGGTCAATGGTAGGGGTATGGGGACAGGGCTGGTTCATTAGTAGGTGTATGGGGATGGGGACAGGACTAGGTCATTGGTAGGGGTATGGGGACAGGGCTGGTTCATTGGTTGGGGTATTGGGGACAGGACTAGGTCATTGGTAGAGGTATGGGGACAGGGCTGGGTCATTGGTTGGGGTATTGGGGACAGGACTAGGTCATTGGTAGGGGTATGGGGACAGGGCTGGGTCATTGGTAGGGGTATTGCGGACAGGACTAGGTCACTGGTAGGGGTATGAGGACGGGGCTGGTTCATTGGTAGGGGTATGGGGGACAGGGTTGGTTCATTGGTAGGGGTAAGGGGGACAGGGCTGGGTCATTGGTAGAGGTATTGGGGACAGGGCTAGGTCATTGCTAGGGGTATGGGGATGGGCTGGGTCATTGGTAGGGTTATGGGGGACAGGGCTGGTTCATTGGTTGGGGTATTGGGGACAGGACTTGGTAATTGGTAGGGGTATTGCGGACAGGACTAGGTCATTGGTAGGGGTATGGAGACAGGGCTGGTTCATTGGTAGGGGTATGGAGACAGGGCTGGTTCATTGGTAGGGGTATTGGGGACAGGGCTGGTTCATTGGTAGGGGTATGGGGGACAGGGCTGGGTCATTGGTAGGGGTATTGGAGACAGGGCTGGGTCATTGGTAGGGGTATGGGGGACAGGGTTGGTTCATTGGTAGGGGTATTGGGGACAGGGCTGGGTCATTGGTAGGGGTATTGGGGACAGGGCTAGGTCATTGCTAGGGGTATGGGGACGGGCTGGGTCATTGGTAGGGTTATGGGGGACAGGGCTGGTTCATTGGTAGGGGTATGGGGGACAGGGCTGGGTCATTGGTAGGGGTATTGGAGACAGGGCTGGGTCATTGGTAGGGGTATGGGGACAGGGCTGGGTCATTGGTAGGGGAATGGGGGACAGGGCTAGGTCATTGGTAGGGGTATGGGGACAGGGCTGGGTCACTGGTAGGGGTATGGGGACAGGGCTGGTTCATTGGTAAGGGTATGGGGGACAGGGCTGGGTCACTGGTAGGGGTATGGGGACAGGGCTAGGTCATTGGTAGGGGTATTGGAGACAGGGCTGGGTCACTGGTAGGGGTATGGGGGACAGGGCTGGGTCATTGGTAGGGGTATGGGGGACAGGGCTGGTTCATTGGTAGGGGTATTGGGGACAGGGCTAGGTCATTGGTAGGGGTATTGGGGACAGGGCTGGGTCATTGGTAGGGGTATGGGGGACAGGGCTAGGTCATTGGTAGGGGTATTGGGGACAGGGCTAGGTCATTGGTAGGGGTATGGGGACAGGGCTAGGTCATTGGTAGGGGTATTGGGGACAGGGCTGGGTCATTGGTAGGGGTATGGGGACAGGGCTAGGTCATTGGTAGGGGTATTGGGGACAGGGCTAGGTCATTGGTAGGGGTATTGGGGACAGGGCTGGGTCATTGGTAGGGGTATGGGGGACAGGGCTGGGTCATTGGTAGGGGTATGGGGGACAGGGCTGGGTCATTGGTAGGGGTATGGGGATGAAGAACTCTAAGCCTGAAGCTGATCTGTTGGGCTTGCTACCAGCCAGGAACAAATGATTTAGAGTTGTGATGCGTTAATTTCTCTGAGTTAATTCTATAAGGACTCTTATTGTGAAGGCAGACTAACTGCTTTGCTCTGTGTTTACGGCTGTACAATGGGAGGAACCAGTCAGACGGAGGTGAGATGAAGTGAGAGAGTGAGGCGTGAGCTGAGTCAGAGGTAGCCGTTAGCCTTGCTCATTTGTACGCTGTGGCTCTGGCCGATACAGCCTTTAATAAAGCTCACGAATCATGCAGTAGACTGTGCCTCCTTTAATAGCGTAGAAGGTTACAGTGTGAACAGATGGCTAAAAGTTTGTCTTCATTGATTAAATGTTGGTTAAAAAGGCAATACAGAGGCTCTCTGGATGTTTACTTTATAATTACATTACATTATAAATAAAATATTCTATTAACGATGATAGGTTAATGATTTAATATTGAAAAAAACACCAAATGTTCTAATAATTTTTTCAGACCCGTCAGTCACAGGCCCTTACAATCATCCTACCCCTGCCCCTCCCCAAACCGGCACAAGCAATCTGTGCTCTGTTATGATTAATACTGCCTTTTTTCAGTAAAATAAAAACATGTTTTCCATTATAAATCAGCTGTTATATTCAAAATCATTACAAATAGATGTACAGCACTTTTCCAGACCGTCAAGGTAAATAAGAAGTAGTTCTTAATGACTTACCTGGTTAAATAAAGGTTAAATAAAAAATAAAAAAAAAAACATGAAAATAAATGGAATGAAAGTCTTAAAATAGAATTTTCTAAGAACAGAAATTCTTTGAATATTATTTCCAAATATATATATATAATAAATAAACCGTTCAGTCGAGACTGAAGAGTTGTGCTGAAATGGAGGATGACTCAGCTTTGTGTTTAGCTGTTATGCAGCGTGTGCATCTGTTTGTTTATGGGGGGGTGGTGGGCGTTGGGGGGGGGTACCACTGCTTTAAAATTTTGCTGTTTTGGCCTGCTGGTTTCTCTGATGTGTCAACACACCTGCCGGATCAAAGCGCCGACGTTCAGATAACAGCTCCTTTATCTGACAAGACCCATTCAGTGCACAATGCAACAAAACAACAGTGTCGTTTGTGATAAGACGCAGGAGTTCATGCTTTGGCACTTACGACATGGGAACTGCGCAGACATCAGTCATCTCAGGCTGGCAGAGAGCTGCACTGAGCCGTTTTTCTTTGCATGCTGCTGCTGACTTGTGAAGAACCTGCTGCTGCAACACTGCACGCTTCTACCAGCAATGCAGGGATGCATACTGTGATAATATGGATGAGATGATATGGGAATATGGGAGGCCACCATGACTGCACAGATTTGGACAAAGCCAGCTCATGTCAGCTCATGTCATGTTCATGTACATCATGGTTTGCCCAGAAAACTAAAAGCATCTGCTGATTCACTAAAATTCCTCAAATGAGTTTAAAACAGCCCAATGCATGGTAACAGAGAGGTAAAGACATAAGAGGAGACAGACTGGGCGGGTGGGCGTCTGAACGAAATTAAAATATGCAGAAGTTACCGGCAAAAAGACAGAGAGGCGCGTTTAAGAGCACGTCCAGCAGAGGGCGCCAGAGAAACGCGCGCTCAAGCAGCGCTGTTTTACATTGTGCAGCAATAAAACGTTATAGAGAAGATATTTACATATTCTATTGATGTTTTGCAGAACAGTTAACGGGAACAGGTTCAGTCAAAGGAGCTCTAAGAGGGGAGAAAGAAAGCTGGGTGTTAAATGATTCAAAACGCTGAATAAATGTGACAAAAATGAAATGGGGTTTGCCAGAATGAAGCCAAAAATCCCTCCTAGGAAACTGTGGTCAGTGTTTCAGCATCACCAATGCAGATCTGTCTCTCTCTCTCTCGCACACACAGACAGACACACACACACACACCACACACAGACGTACACACCCTCCCTTGCCGGCTCTGCAACAAGCACATAACACACAACAAAACGAGCTCCAGAATGAGCAGAAGTCACATTATCTAGGTTTTCTTGCCTTAAACAGAAAGATTAGCTGAAAACAGGCAGAACATCAAACCTCAAAGAATCAGTATTCACTGTGATCCACCTCTATGTCCTCTAAACTCACCAGCTCATCCAAAAAAGTCCTGCTAAAACCTGCCTACAGCATGAAAAGCTGAATAAATCTGCTATTCCTGGCAGGAGCAGATATTCTGGGTTATTCTGGTCAGACAGAGGACGCAGAGGAACAATGCGTCCCTGCCGGGATTAACCGGCACACTTACAGCTTTACAAGCGTGGATTAGTGAGGAGAAAGACCCAGAATGTCGAGCGGCTCCTCTGAATCTACACTCGCACTAAAGCAGCTCCAGAACCGCCTCATCCCGCCTGAGAGCCGCGGCTTCTGCGTTTTTCTGAGAGAAAGGCTGAGATCTTCGCTCTTACCTGCTCGGTGCGCTCACTCACTGCAGACTGGCTCACAGCGCAGAGGCACGAGGGCGGGGCGACGCAACATCTAAGCCACGCCCGCTTGGCGGAATCTGTTTGCATAAACCCCGCCCCTCTGTCCGTCTACCGTAAATAACCGCGTAGGAGCTCATTGTCATCTGGTAAGATACAAACGGGGTACAAAACGCCTAAAACGCGTACTCGACATCTTTAATGACTCTGATTTTAACAGGAAGTCCATTCTCGTCCTGTAGAGGAGAAAAATAGCCTCTTTTTTCCCCCCCGTTCTCTTTTTGGCTATGTCAAAAAAATGACTTACTTTCTCAAAACATTGACTTTACATCTCGAGAAAAAGACTGCAAAATAACAGAGCCCTGCTGCTGACATATCGTATAAATAAGAATAATGCGTGGCCACGCCGTATTAACGCATGAGAATGAGATCCTAATGCATGACCACGAGTTAGTAAGGCATGGGAATGAGATCATGCCTTATTAAGCTCTCGTGAAGGATTAATCATCTCATTCCCACGCCTAACTAAGTCTTGGCCACGCATTAGGATCTTGTCCCCATGCCTTACTAAGTCGTGGGTCCGGCTTAATTATCTCGTTCCCACGCCTTACTAAGTCATGGTCACAGATTAAGATCTCGTCCCCATGGCCTCGACTGAATTATGTCATTCCCACGCCTTACTAGGTTGTGGCCACATATTAGGATATCTTCCCCATACCTTACTACGTCATGGCTCCAACTTAATCATCTTGTTCCCACACCTTACTAAGTCATGGCCAGACATTAGGATCTCGTCCCCATGCTTTACTAAGTCATGGTCCTGACTTAATTATCTCATTCTCACACGTTACTAAGTCGTGGCCACTCATTATTTTTATTTATACAGGATGTCACCATCAGAGCTCTGTACAAAATAAATACTTATAAGTAAGAATTATTTTTGATGTAATTCATTTTTTTTATTCAAAATTTCAAGAACTAAAGCAAGGATTTTGATACAGCAAGTCAAATGTTCACAAAGTAGTTCAGAATATTGGGGACGTGAGTGATTATTTCAAGATATTAAGGCAAAATCTTGAGAACCCATGACATTAAGAGAAAGCAAGTCGAAATTTTAAGAACAATAATAATTTTGAAATACTAAATCAAAAATTTGACATTGTTGCTGGAAATTAGTACAAAAAAAAGATTCTCTTCTCTACCTGAGAGAAACTGACTTCCATACAACTGTAACTGTATCAAGCACTACACAGCAAAAAATATAATCCATTTTTTTATCATTTGATTGGCTGAATAGGATCTCAAGGTGGTCAAATACATTATACATCCTCACACTCCTTCTAATAAAAGGTCTCAGCTACTTTAATGTGCATCCATTACTGATACAGGTGTTCAGCTGTGCACACACAACCTGTAAAATCTCCATAGAAAAGCACTGATCAACCGAATGGGACACTCTTGAGCAGCCACACATGAGCCAAAGGTCACCATGTCCAAAAACATGCGCTAGAGGGGTCCAAAGCCCCCCAGCATTGGGAACTGCGTTCTCTGGAGTGATGGAGCTCCATCCAGTTCCTCTGGGATCCAGAACGTATCATCTAAATCAGTAGCTGACCTCACTAATGCTCAATCAAATGCTCACAGCAATGTTCCAACATCTAGTGTAAAGCCTTCCCAGAAGAGTAGAGGCTGTTACTGCAGCAAAGGAGGACAAGTTTCCCATTAATACCCTTCATTTTAAAAGAAATGCTGGATGTCTACAAACTTTTGGACACATAATGTATGTAGGCCAGATGTGATGCACTCGATCTGAAACACTATAACTTTAATGTGAGTAGGTGGAGCTAAACTGCTATAGGCTGAATTCAAAAGTGGCCAGTTTTGCAGTTTAGTTTCCGTATACGAACTTGAGAACGAACAGTCGACTTAACCATGTTTTCATCCTACATTAAACTCCTTTACTTAAAAAAAAGGATGAGAAAAATTCAGGTCTCTATGATCACGTAGTCCATTTTGCAGGGAACTATTAGGCTGACCGGTGAATATTGTTGGGTCATTCTAATCTAAATAATTGCTGGTTTATGTTGCAGTTGACTTCAAGATAAACTGCACAGTTTAACCAAAGTCACAGTGTTAGACAATTATAGTGGCTTTAATGTTACTGTGTCCTTTTATTCATAGTGGAGTGGCTTAAAAGCACAAAAAAATCAAGTACAAATCCTCAAATGGTACTTAAGTAGAGGAGTGGATACCCCTGCAGTGTTGATCCGGTGTAATGTGTTTCTCACGCTCGCGCTGAATGCTGAACAGCTGCTGGCCTCCCAGACTCACGAACGCCCCACCAAAACATCACCCACACTCAGAAGATGCTGAAAACCACTTGTGTATTGTCTCTTGAAGACACTCGCTCTTTAAATAACTCCAGCACTCCCACCACACAGCACTGAGACCGTGTTTCATCGTCTGTTTTTCACTGAACAGCCTAAAGAAAGTGGAGCCTGTTGTCTAAAGTTGCCTGGCCTAATCACTGTTCCTTACATTGGAACAGAAATGGACTCTAATCACTGTTCTTTATACTGAAGTGCTATATATGGACACTTTATAGAGAACTGAAATGGTCACCTAATCACTGTTCTTTAAATTTTGCACTATATATACACTCAGGAAGAAAGTGTGCTGTACAGATACTTTTTAGTCCCTCCAGGCACAAACAATGTAAATGCGCCCTTAAAAGGTACAAAGAAGCGTAGAAAAAGCAAACATTAGGTCCAATTACACACCTTAACTAAGTTATAGGTCTATTCCTATTCTGTGGAGAGAAAAATTGGTCTCCCCCCCAATTCTCTTTTTCTGATATAATAATATCTAATTTTGTAAAAATCGTGGCCAGGATATGTCAAAAAATGAATTACCTTCCCAAAACATTGAGTGTGTTTACATGCACTCAATAATCCGATCATAATCGAATTTCTGCAGTTAGCAGATTATTCAAATGGTCATGTAAACACCATACTCCGATCTAGAAACCCTATTAAGAAATCTGATAGAGAGAGCTGGATTCTAGCTCAGTAATCAGATTTCTCAGTGCATGTAAACTCTTACTCTGATTTCTTTCGGAGTTCTCAGTCTGCGCGCGCGCGAAAACTGAGAAACCCAAGAGATTGCAGTACCCGAAAGACCCATTTTCTGCAAATCTGTCAAAATAAATAATTATAAAAAAGAATGGTTTTTGATGGTTTTTTTTTTTTCATTTTCATTCAAAATTTCAAGAAATGAAGCTATTATTTTGATACAGCAAGACAAAATTTCTAGAAGTAGTTCAGGAAATATTTTACACAAACAATGTAAATTTGCCCTTAAAGGCCCTTAAAGCAAACATAAGGCCGAATTAAACACCTTAACTGAGTTATAAAAGTACACTACATTCACTCTCCCAGGGTAAAAGGACATATTTTTACCTTTTCATAGCTTCACTGTTTTTAAATAGGAAACTAAAGTAAAGGACAGGGTGTGTGGAGACAATGCAACTTTAAAAATAAACCCAACAGAATACGGTACAATTATGTTCCCCAACTAAGGGCACTCCTTCAAGGGTACCACCCCAGTGTCAGTTTAGCACCTGTTTTCTGAGAGTGCTGGACACTCAGAGAAGAGAAATGATGCTCCAATCACTGTTGCCTTCATTATAAAACCCCATATGGAGCACAAAATAAAGATCTAAGGAAAATATTAGGTGACAAACATAAATCAGGGCTGTCTATATGACTGTCCATCAACAAGAGAGCCAGACTGACAGCAAATCAACGTGATGCATGCAAACCCTCCCATGTTATTTTTTCCTCTTTCTTCATTTTCTAGATGATGTATGTTTATATTTTCAGGTACAGTGGTGCGATGTTTAAAAAAAAAAAGCCGCTGCATGACATTCAAGTTTTATTTTATGTTTAAGTCACATCTTCTTCTGTGAGTTTATTGGCTGGTTGCAAAGCAGAAATCCGATTACTGCCTGAGTGATGTAGACCTGGAGTTTCCCCTTTATCTGATTACCCAAATGCATAAAATAGTGTTGATCAGATTACTGACAAAATCTGATTTTCTGCAGTTATCAAGACTATTAAGTGCAATATGTAAATGCACTCAATGATCATTTCTTGCCAGACATGTTTTATGGGTGTGCAGTGCCACACGGCATGGATATAACTATCTGTGGTATTCAGTGAACAGAATTCAGAGCTGGTAAATCCTGTTTTGAAAGTCTTTTGTCCAGTGCAATGTATTCTGTGGACAAGATACATAGATTATCCTATGTTAATTGATGTAGTAGCCTTTTGTAACACGTGTGTGTGGCAATCAGTGCAGCATCACACATAAAGTTTAGTTTTATGTTGATTTTTTTTTTTGCCATTTTAGAAGCACGTTGTACAAAACAGTGGGTTTACTGGGACATGGTGATTGGTTGGTGGGACACTGCCCCCTTGATGCCAGGTCTGTTATGGGGAACAGAAATGGTCCCTAATCACATCTTTGACTCTACAATTGACAATCATGGGGAAATCACTGAAAAATCAGGAGTAGTATTATAAAACACTACTGCATGAGAACAGAATTTGTGACTGAACTTGTACACTAATGTTACACACTTTTACACATCGCTCAACTGCATACAACCTAAGGCATTCTGGGTATTCCACGTTTGCTAAGGTACTTAATTTATACCCTACTTGTTCTAGAGCATTATAAGATAGAGTGCACTGGATGTTTTTGGACGCCACTGCAAACTCCAACACACACCAATCAGGCACAACATTATGACCACCTCCTTGTTTCTGCGCTCATTGTCCATTTTATCAGCTCCACTTACTATATAGGTGCACTTTGTAGTTCTACAGTTACAGACTGTAGTCCATCTGTTTCTCTGCATACTTTGTTAGCCCCTTTTT